TGGACAGATGGTGTGTTTGGCTTTGTGATAGCCAGGGGGACTAAGCTAGTGATTTATTCCAGGCTTGGGTCAGGTGTAGACACAACTGATTCCATTGCTGTTGGGCCTGCCATGGTCACGTGTTCATGTGACACATCGGCAGCTGAAGCCAGGTGGAGCCGTAAATCGCCAGGTGAACTATCCAGAGGCCCTTTCTGGAGACAGCAGCAGGTTAAGGCGCCTGTGTGACCCTGGCCTCTGCACTTCCTCCCCGCCCCTCTGAACTCCTGTTGTTTGTTCCCGTGTGATTGTTTTCCTTGTATCATTGGCAGCAACAGATGTTTTGAGTCAAGAACCCAGCAAAATGCCTCCGAATTTGTCAGACCCAGGAAGAGAGGGATTGTATCCCTGGGACATTATTTCTTCATTCTCTTTCAGCAACTAAACATATTTCCTTTCCATTGTCTTTTTGTTGGAAATGATCCATCCCCAGCATTGCAGCCATTAGCTGTAAGAACAAGAAGGCAGCTCCCAGTCAGCTGGGCCAGTTCTTAGCTGGTCTGTTGTCATATTTCTTGACAATCCAAAGGTCTTGTCCCTAAGGATCAAGTTCATCAATAAAGGGGCCCTCCCCTGCCCTGCCCAGCTGACCCTTTTCTCCATCAAATATCAACAGCTACCATATGCTTCGAACATTCTCTTTGGATAGTGGTGGGTCATAAACTGGGGTAGTCCAGACACACTTCTTTCACTACACCGTATCTATCTGTGGGTGCCAGGACTTAAAAGCGCGGCAGTGTCTAGCTTGGAAGAGGGGTCATTGGCGATTCAGCACTGGGACCAAAGCCCGGGACATTTCAAGGGGCAAGGGTGGTGTTTGCTGGGGAAGCAAAGGCCAAGGGTCTTCATTCTTCAGGAGTGAAAAAATGTTTCTAAGTCAGAGGCCAGAAGCTGGCTGCGCTCCACGACGGAGAGAAAAAGGAAATGTGTCTTAAGTGGCAGCAGGAAAACGTAAACCCGAATTTAAGAAGTTCCTGACAGTTGGGGTCGTGAGCTAGAAAGCATGTTGCTGACGTGGTCTACGAAAATGCCTTCTATGGTGAGCGTAAAGTGAGGCGTGGACAGCTGGGCTTGGGGAGGGGGTGATGCAGGCTGATTCCCCTGGGAGGCAGAGCCGGCCTGCTTGCCTTGGTCACTTGAGGTCCTGTTCCAGGTTCAGGTAACATTCCATTTGATTGGCTGTTGATGAACACATGGGGCACGTGGCAAACAACTTGGGGCAGACAGGCAGGCAGGCTTCCGGGTTAAGGTACAGACAGCATGCTGGCCCCCCTCAGATGAAGCCATGCTTCTCTCTGAGTTTTGCCAGGGAATTGGCGGCCTTTCTATCATTTTTCTTAAAAGCATCTTAAAAATAAAGACAAACAAGAGGGGTGCTGTGTGGAGGGTTGGGAATGACCCAGTAGTGCCCAGTGAACACTACCTGTGGCCCTGCCCAAGCGCAGCCTGCTTCATAGGACTCATTTACCCCTCCCCACCACTCGAGGCTCTTAGTATATCACTTAGTAGACTTAGGCCATTACTAGACCCATTTTGCAGGTGCAAAGACTGAGACTTGAACAGATTAGTGAGCCATTAGGAAAGCTACTTCATCCCAGATAACAGGTCCACGTTTTCTCACTTTAAGCAGGATTCAAATCTGACTCATTACTCTAACAGCGGGCTTAGACTTACTGCTTTAATTCTCTGAGCCTCAGCTTCCTTTTTGTTAAAATAAACAAACAACTAAACAGAGAGAAGAACACTTACTCCACAGGGCTAGGAATGTTTGCGTAAGATAAGAAACATAAGATAAAGCACCCAGTGCGTTGTCATGCACATACTAGGTGCTTAATTTTTTCATCTTCCTCCTCCTGCTTATTTTTTTTTCCTCCTGTTCTTTGAGCTTTCTATGACCTGACTCCTTCCTTCATGATGTCCCTGGTTCTAATCAGGCCTCTCTCCATGACAGGCAGGGACATTCTGCAGCTCAGCGTCCCTCTGACTGATGTCTACTGCTAATTCCTTAAATTTACATATCATCTTTCTTCCCTGGAGCTCACAGCACTTAACAGACAAGTGGGGCACAAGTGATTTAACTAAGTGAAATCCAGAGGCCTGCTTGTCTGGAGATTCTGCAAACTGGTGGATTAGCTCAGATGTCAGCGCTGAATGATGATCCCTCGGCTGCCCGTGCTTAGCACGCCACCAGCATTAACTCCCGGGGCCTGCAGTGGGCCTTTAAATCATGCACAGTGATAATCATCTTCTTGTGCTCTGTGGGGGCAGAAGAGGAGGGGGAGGGATCCACGTGGAGCCCCTGAAACCTTTGGCCCACTTGTGCCTGGAGTTCTGGTAAGCAGCTAAGGAATGGGAAAGGACCCAGATGAACTCCAGCCCTCACACCTCCGCTTGCATTTCATGTATTCAATTCTAACCATGATGTGATGATTCTCCCGCTGCTTAAGAATGTAAATTCACACGAGTGACAGTATTTCTGCCAAGCAAATCTTCAGGCAGCAAGCGGGTCTTATTTGTGAAACTGTGAAGGAAGAAGGCTGAATAATAAGCTCTGAAATCTGGTTTCCTTGAGACACGAGGCAGAAACAGCGAGGGTTTGAGAATGATCGGAAATGGGGGAGCCTCTCTCAGGCGGCGGTGGGGTGGTGGCGGGTGTGTGTGTGTGTGACAGTTCTCGTTGGTGTCTCAGTTGACCTGGAGCCTGCAGTCGGCCGTGGTCATGAGTTTGCTGTTGAAGAGTGCTGCTGGATTGGAGGGTCGAGGGAACTGGGAAGGACTGTGTGAATCTGAGTTTAACCAGCAAGCAACTTGTTGAGTATCTTGGGCTCTCCTGCAGGCCTCCTGTCTCTCTGTGTCTAGGTGTTGCTCATTGATTCACTCATTGACTCATTCATTCCTGGGCCTGAAATTGTCTTGAGCAGGGCTGTATCTGTCCAGCTCAGTCTGGGGCTTGGTGGAGGAGCAGCGATGTTACACCTTTGTGTTACATCTTTTATGCCTGAGACCAGGACCTTTACAACATTATCCTCTGCTGATAAGAAAGAGCTACACGAAGCAGGCAAGCCTTAAGCCCTTTTCAAAACAAGGGAAAGTCTATGGTACCCTTGTTTGAAAGCTAGAGTTGTTGAGAGGACAATTAACATTGCATGTGCTGCAATGGTTAATGTTCATAGAAAGGAAAAGATGCAGCAGAGATGGGGCGGGGGAGGGTGGGTGGGAAGGGAGCAGTCACAGACAAGAGGAGAGGCAACCCCTGGGCACAGTGGGGAAGGCAGTTTGCTTCAGAATGTGATGGATGGCCAGGACGTGGGGCACAAACTCGTGCAGTGCAACTGAGATGAAGAGCTCCCCGTACCAAGGTGGGAAACCAAAGCTGAGTCTGGGCTCTGCTGTTTGCCTAGCCTCCCTCCCTGGCCAAGCCACGCTGACCTTTCAGAGCCTCCGTTTCCTCATCATGTACAAAAGGGGATAAACTAGAGCTCGAAACTTGATTGCATGGATGCAGTACAATAATGCATGGGAAGGTGCTTTGTAAGCTGTAAGGCATGATGCAAATGTGTTATAATATCATTAATAACTGACATAACAGGAGCTCATAGGGGAAGCACAGGTGGAGAAGAATTTTGAGTGTTTCAGTATGGCACTGAGATACACTGCTGTTATTTAAAATCCTCTCCTGGAGAGAGAGCTACCTGTTAGTCATCTGTGCTGATTTTGACCTTGAAGGAGTCACAGAGTGTGGGGTGTAGGCAGATATGGCTCTGGATGGTGGTAGAGGAGGCACAAACTGGAATCCCACTGATGTGTCCTCAGCTGGTCACATCTGACTTCAGAGATGCCTCTGAAGCAACATTCCTGAAGGTCTAACAGGAAGGACAGGAAGGAGCCTAGGACAGCCTCAGGTAGCTGACGAGGCAGCTGGGGGAGTGAGGGAGGAAGGAGCCTTGTCTGGGCCAGCTGGATCTGTCCTGCACTCGGCTCTCACCTGGAGTGGTGACGTCACCAGGAGTGGCACTGGCCAACCCCTGGTCCAGGGAGTGCTGCGTTGACTCAGATCTCTGCAGTCCTCACCTGTCCTTCTCTGACTAGCCCAGGATGTGCACAGCCCCTGTGGAGCAGGAAAGCTCTGTGCACCTGTCTCTGGTTAATTTGGCCTCACATTGGGATGGACCAAGGGCATATGACCTGCCCACGTTCCTTGCTGGGTATGTGGTTTAAAAAAACAGTCCTGGCGTCATGCACAAGTATCCAGCATGAGAAGCTTCTGTGTTTTAGTCCCGTACGAGGTGCTAGCCAGATTTCTTCTCAAATGCTGCCCTGTTCTCTGTGCAAGTGGTCAGAACGGTCCCTGCACCTGTGGCTACAGACCCGGGTCTACCAACACCAGGATACCTGAGTCTCCCACATGAGTATCTGAGGAATTTGGCACTACTTGGCCAACAGTCCAGTTCTGTTAAACAGACTGTGTTCATGACAAGGTGGCACCCGTAACGGGGGAGGCATGTGAGACTGAGAAGGGTGAAGTTCAGGCCTCCCCAGGGTAAAAAAAGGGCGGGAGTGGAGTGCCAGGTCCCCTGGGTCATCCTCTGTAACCACCGTGCTGGTCCTGGTTGCACTGAACTGGGCTTCTGAATCACTGTCATTTGAGCCCTGCCATCATCTGGTAGCTCAGGTGGCAACAGAAGGTTTTAATGCCTGCCACTTGGACGGTGCCCAGCTCAATCTCTAGCACGCACATGTTCTCTCTCCCTCTCTGTCTTCAACCCCTCTTTGTCACTCTGACTTTCAAATAAAGCAGTCCTTTAAAAATAAAGAAAAGATAGGGACCCCGAGCCTGGAGAATATGTGAATGAGTGAGACACCTGAATTCCAGCCCCAGCTGTCCCTGAGAGGCACCGCAGCCGCAAACAGGTGTCTTTGCCAAACATTTAACCAAGAACCTTCTGGGTTTGTTTCCACAGACGACAGGAACTTCTTGAGGCTGCAGAGTGACGGCCGGCGAGAGGGCCAGTACGCCAGGCTCATCAGCCCACCTGTTCACCTGCCCCGGAGTGCGGTGTGCATGGAGTTCCAATACCAAGCCACCGGCGGCCGCGGGGTGGCGCTGCAGGTGGTGCGCGAAGCCAGCCAGGAGAGCAAGCTCCTGTGGGTCATCCGCGAGGACCAGGGCAGCGAGTGGAAGCAGGGCCGCATCATCCTGCCCAGCTACGACATGGAGTATCAGGTGGGGAGGCAAAGGCCAGGGAAGCGCAGATCCAAAGGAGCCCTGGTGATCTGCGTTTCAATATTTCAAAGGGCTGTGCCCATTCATCATTAGGGGACGCGGTTAAGCACCGCTGTTTTCATTGTGTTTCTCATGTTGCCATGGCAACTAAATGACACTCTTATTTGTTATTCAGAATGTGCCTATCTCTACACCCAGACTTGGTTCTTTGTTCCTCCTATTGCCTTTTATATTGCTGAAATCTTCTCTAACAAATGTTTCTTCGCTCCATTTTATTTTAGATTGCTATCAGGTGGGCTGACAAAGGCACACCAAAGCCTGGGGAAATAAACACAAACAAACCCTCAGCACACTGGGACAGGCCTGCTGGGCCTTGGGAAACTGAGAAGGGAGTGGGGAGGACCTGCCAGAACCATCCCAGGGGGTGGGTCCCAGGAAGCAGAGTGGAGGGTGTTGGCACTCCATGGCCAGCAGAACTGCCTGAGTCTTAAATGACTGTGAGCTGCCGCAAGGCTAGAGGTCTATTATTTCTGCTCCCATGATCAGTAAGAGACTCAGGCACAGATGGGCACACACAGCTGTGGCTGCAACTTGGGTAGCAAGTTCTACACTGGAAGAGGTGGCTGTGTACCAGCCAGAGCATTCACCTGCTCCTCCCCAAACAGGAGCAGCAACAGATGGGTGATGCTGCAGCCAACTGCTCACTCAGCCTGCCAGAGGACGTGTGCGAGCTGCAGAGCAAACCTGGGGAGGGTGAGGATGAGGAATGAGTTAAGACCCTCGACAAAGGAGGGGGGCTTCTGGGAGCAGCCTGCAGTCCCTCCCTTTTGCAGTTGTAAGGCATCCTGAGACCTCCGACTCCTGCTCAGGTTTCCACATTGTAGTGGAATGATCTGTCTGTTTTTATCTCACCCGGTAGATAGCAAGCTTTCCCCGGGCAAAAATCCTAGCAGATTTCCTTACTATCCTTATGCCTAGCACATAGTAGGTGCTTAGAAAACTGTTAGTGAAGGAGCAAATTCTTTCCCTCCTGGTTATACTGAAGGAGCCTAGAGGCAGTGTGAAATAACTAAGCCATGTCATCGTCAAGGCAAGCCACACGGTGGGCTCCGGTGCCAACAGTTCCCCCCACCTGCCCCTGTCCTCTGACTTTCCAAGTACCTGCATTGGGCATTTGAAAGATTTATGAGAAAGGAACCTCAAAACCAGCTAGGGAAATTTCAACTCCCTCTTTAAACATGTCCTGATTGTGATCCTTTTAATCAATACACTGTAGTTACTGGATGGCAGTATCCATCACCCGGTTATATTTTCTTACCCCCTCAAATATGCATTTGATTTCAACCTACTCTTGTTAAATTAAGATTTCAAGTGCTGTAGCCATGTGGCCAACAGATGTCTGCCAGGTGCAGCAATACACACACACACACACACACACACAGAGGCTGTGCCGCAGTTAACAAAAAACTGGACAGCTTGCTTCGTACCGTTTGTAACGGGAAGCTCCATTAACCACAAGTCCTGTTCTCTTTTGGCTTCTAGATTGTCTTTGAGGGAGTGATAGGGAAAGGCCGTTCTGGAGAGATCGCCATTGATGACATTCGGATCAGCACGGACGTCCCGCTGGAGAACTGCATGGGTATGAGCATCTTGGACTCTAGCTGGCTCTTTCGAGGATGACACCGAGGGTGGGGCCTTTCAAGCAGAGGCAGCATGCCATCTTACTGCCCGCTGGGTAGCAGGGAGGGCTAGGGGTGGTGCCAGGTCAGCAGTGGGAAGCCAATTGCACATAGAAGGCTCTGAGTATATGGGGAGTCAGTGTGCTGTAACCCCGTCACCAGGCTGTGGCATTTAATGTGGCACACAACTGCAGGCACCAAGCAGAATTACCTGTTGAGAAGGCCTGCTGGAGGAGAGGGAGTCCCCCACCAACGAGCTGCAGAAGAGCCACTCACAATTACCAGTGGTTGAGTTCCATGATGGTTTTAGAAGTAAACCCACAGACTTTGTTTTGACACCAAGTCCTCTAAGATCTATCATCCCAGAGTGGTAAGATGGAATGTTGTATGCAAGGCAGCCATCACAGGACATACTGTAGCTACCACCAGTGTCCAGTAGCCCCAGGTCAGCCTTCCTCCTGAAATGTACCCATTCTATCTGGAGGGGTCATCCCAGGAGCATTCAGACCGTTACCCTTCAAAGCCACATACACTCCCACAGAAATAGGGAAATCCCAAGATGTAGGGGCGCCTTCAAAGCCACGTACACTCCCGCAGAAATAGGGAAATCCCCAAATGTGGCGGGGCCTCACTCTCAGTGGGCAGAGCGGCTGTAGTAAGTCACCAAGTGCTTTTTAAGCACAGGATGGTGTGTATGTGTGTGAGAGAGAGAGAGCCTGATGATGTCAGCAGCAACAGGGACCACCCCAGGCCCCTCGGGCAACTCTCAGGCCCCAGGCACCTAACAGCAATCCTGGCTCTGAGAAAGTAATCAGTGGTAAGTGACTGATTACAATGCTTTGGGGACCCATTACTCTATGAAAGACTTTTTGTTCCAAAGCAACTTTGAGAATCTCTTTCCACTCCCCCAACCCCTTGATGAGTCAGTGTTAGGCGCAGCCCAGGGTACGTAGAGAAAATGGGACACTTGCTATTACAAAAACCCTGCTGGAAGTCGTCTTCGGGATCATGCCCATACAATGATTTCTTCTTTTTATCTAACTCAATTTTTTGTGTGTTTCTTTTTCAGAACCCATCTCTGCTTTTGCAGGTGAGAATTTTAAAGGTAAAACAATTTTTTTTTGCTCGTTTGTTTTGCATGCCTTTTCCTTTCCCCATGTGATGCGAATTTGGTGGGGGAAATAAACCCCCAATTTGACAAATCTCTCCAGCAAAATGAAATGCCGCATCTTCCCACCACTAGATGGCACCACCAACACCTGCAGATGCAAGGAAATGGGAATGGAGAGCCTCACTGTCTCCTGTTTAATTAAAGTTTAGAAACCCATAATAGAGACAGATAGGTTACAGATAAAATCTTTCAACCTTGCATTGTCCAGTGGGGATCAATGAGGCTGAAAATGCAGGATCGGTAAGAACGGAGAAGCTGTGGGAGGACTGAACCCAAAGAAGAAATCAGTAGTAAATTAAAAGTGAAATGAGGTGACAATGATTACTTTTAGCCTGAAGATGGTTTCTTTCCAGCTCTAGGGTACCAAGACAGCCGTCTCAATGAGCCCAAGTGAGATGCAGTGACAGGCAGGTGTGGGAGGGAAGACAGGGAAAAGAACCAAGGAGCAATCCTCGCAGGAAACAGGCATCAAACGCAAGAGCTGATGTTCAATAAAGAAAGCAAGGATGTGCCTCCAGTGCCTAGAGTTAGAGCCATTTACATACGGGGATGATAGACAGAACAGGCCCTCTACTGCCTAAGAAAGGGGATGAGAGCAAATGAAGGTGGGAGGAATTTGGGGTGCTTGTCTCACCCACTGAATAGGGTAGCAGCCTCCAATCTTCGGTGATGGGAATGTTTGTGGTGGTAGAAGGTACCGTGTTTCCTATCGTGCCTTGTTTGCAATCCCACTGGTTGGCACAGCCAAAGTTCCTACCCAGGTTGCCAATGCTAAATGCTTACGAGCACCCCACCCCCTTGATCTTCCACTGCAGTTGGTTGAGTGTCACCGCCTTCTCGGGACACTCGCCCTCACAAGCCCAATGACAGGCTTGTCACACCCTAAATCGCTGCAAACAGTCGTGGAGGTGACTGTGCCCGGTTTGCACTGGTGGGGCTCACCCCGTAGGTGACAGCATTTCAGAGATAAGGGCAGCCATTTTTATATCCAACGTCTAGACGCGTTATCTTTGCTCCCATTAATCTGTCCAGTTGCTGGCTAGAAAGAGATGAATTTCTGGTTTGCCACCTACATGTACTCCCTGCCTCCAAATCATCTCACCTAATTTGCCACTTATCACCCATAGCTGTGAGGCTGTCGGGGAGGAAGCAGCAGAACCCTGGGGACAGCGACAGGCTACAGAGTGCATGTTCTTTCTTTCTCACCCTTCTTTGCCTCCCTGAAGCCCATGCCCACTCCCCATTGGCACATTTTAAAGCATTAAGAGTGTTCATATCCACATACGGGTGTTCTCTGGGTGTGAGATTTCACGTTAATACAAATCCAGAGTATTGCCAGGAAAGCTGAGATCCAAACTGAACGACTTGGATTGCAGTTGAATACAAGTTCTAACCTTCAGGACCCAAGGTAACGTGGATGGTGACGCAGTAAAGCCTGCTTTATGTTGTTTCACCTGACTTCTTTGGGTTGTTGAGACTCCAAGCTCCCACAAAGGCTGGTTAAAGACGTGCCAGCCATTGCTACAGAGGCTGTGCTGTGCACACTGTGTCAGGCCGTGACTGACAAGTACACTGGCTAAGTGCTTTGCTTCTGTAGGAGAATAAACAAACCAGGGCACATGGACTCCCCTTGAAGCTGTGCATACCAGGAGGCTGCACCGGCCAGTCATGTTGTTGGGTACAAAATACATAAATAAGATCTCATCAGAGCAGCCGTGCTCAGTTAGCCAAAATAAACACAGGGCTTAGTGTGGGAGGCATGCAGTTCCAGTGCATTCCTGATGGGCTGCTCTGGGGGCGAGGGAGAGGCAGTGGGCAGGTTGCATGGATCGGCTAGTGGCTGTTGCTGTGGAAGAGTATAGGCATGATGGAAAGGAGGAAAGCGAGTCTTGCGGAGCAGAGGTTTGCTCAGGGACTGCCGAAAGAACCAGGGGCAGGATGGAATGGAGAGTGGGCAGTCTGATCACATTGGAACCTTTTCCATGGAGTGGGTAGACAGACAGACCAGGGTCAGGTTTCCAGGGCTTGTTGCCTTGGGGCTAAGGCTTCTTTAACCTCAACATGCAAGCCAACTTTTCCATGTGGAAGATGAAAGGCTGGCATTCTGTTCCCCTCGTGGTCAGCACAGCAGATGCCCCCTCCGAGTCAGGCATAAAATCAGCTTTTCATGCAAAGAAAGGGGGAACAATCACCAGTTTTGAACAAACAGAATTTGGGGAGATGATGTTGGAAAACCACAGACGATAGGCATTCACATGGAATTTTAAAAATTTACTTAAAGATGTACTTGTTTGAGAGAAACAAGCAAATATACAGAGAACGGGAGTTTTTATCTATTGAGCCACTCCCCAGATGGCCGCCGTGAGGGTGCTGCACCAGGCTGGAGCCAGGAGCTGGGAGCTCAGTCCAGGGGTCCCAGATGGATGGCAGGGACTCAGGCATTTGAGCTGTCACCCGCTGCCCCCCCCCCACCAACGGGCATGTTAGCAGAAAGCTGGACTTGGGAATGGGGCTGGGACTTGAACCCCAATACTCAGATGAAGGATGTGAACATCTCAAACAGTGGCTTAATTGCTAGGCAGAATGCTTGCCTCAGAGTGTTGTTTTTTGATTGAGGTTGATTTTCCTTTCGATTAAAAATTACCTATGTGACAGAGTCATCCCATTCTTTAGGAAAAGTCAGTGTGTCCCAGGTCAGCCTGTAGGGAAATGCAGCACAAGTGGCCTGTGCACCTGGCGGACTGGGTATTCTTGATCTTTTGTATTTCCAAGTGTTTCTCATTTTCTGCCTCTTACTGATTTCTTGCATTCGAATCACCTATGCCTTCTGCTTCGTGTGTGCACCTAGGCTGTGCAGCAGGGATTGAGTCAGTGAGAAAGAGAAGGGTGGAGGACAAGGGAAGAAGCAAGAGGGAATAAACTATGCTGTGTGGTTTTTAAAAAGACATTCTGTTGCTGTTGGGAGTCACACTTTAAAGCACCATAGCCTGGACAGACATTTTTCCTTTTTCTAAAGTAATGGCTACAAACATGGTTCTGTCGTGTATTTTTTCTAGAATCTGAGCTTTAACAAATTAAAAAAAAAATTGTGTACATGGAAAGAAAAAGAAATAAGGTAATGGATCATTTCCTGCTACCGATATTGTCATTTATTTTTCAATAAAACAAGAAGCTAGTAAAAAAAAAAAAAAAGATAAAGCCCGTATCAGAATTGTGTAGTTGTTGACCAGCTAGTGGGTTCCAGGAGCCTGTAGTGGTTTCTCCTGGGGTTGGGACTTGTGCGCTGTGGCCACAGCTGGAACAGAGACTCTTGGTCTGCAGCCCACTTGTTAAAGACCCATAGAAACCTCAAGCAGGATGCAACGGATTCAAAATCATTATCTTGTGCTCACAGATGCTAAAGCAAACATCAGCGCACCCTGTGTGACCACGAGTTTCGGATCTCAGACCAAGTCTGGGGTTCATGGCTTCCTCTATTGTGCCTTCCTGGGAGACTTTCTGCTGTCACCAGCAATACCCATCTGGCTAGATCCAGGGGAAGTGAACAGCTAATGCCATAGGAGGGAACAGTCCTCAGAAAGACCCACGCCGGGTGACTGACATTTGCCTCCAGGCCCAAAGTTTGGAGTTTGCTAGCTTGATGCCTCTGGCCAGTCTCTCCTGGACCCCAGCCCCACTCTTCCTGCCCTGTGGCCTGCCTCCCGCAGCTTTGCCCATCCCTCACCACAGCACAGGACCTGGCCTCGGCCTCAGTCTCCCCTCCCAGGGTGCTGTGTGCTGGAAGCCCGCCTGAGCCGCGCTGAGAGGGTTAAATGGTGTTTTCACGCATAATCCTCTGATGAAAGGCGGAGAAGTGCTCCCCGCCCGCCAGCTTTCAGATAGGAGCCTCCTCCCAGCCCACAGCTGCCAGATTAAGGCTAGGTGTTGCTGAGCAGGGAAAGCTGGAGCTCAGATGTGTGAACCAGGACAGCTTGGCTGTCGTCCTTTCGTGGGGATCGGCCCGTCAGAGCGCCGGTGCGTGCCGACTCAGCCGCCAGAGGCCGGCCACCTCCCCTCCCTGCCAGGTTACCATTCAGCCAGCCAGCAGGCGAGCTTTGCCACCAACCACTTCTCCCTCTGATAGAACAAAGGACCAGTGGGTAGCATAAGTGTCCTGGATGCCATGCAGCCAGAGGTCTGGGTTGAGAGGCATTTTGGGTGGTCTGGGGTGGGGGTGGGGGCCGTGGCTGCCTCTGGCTGCAGTCCTTGCCATGGCCCTTCCCCCCAACATAAGGCAAAGGCAAGACCCATTTCTCAGGGGTGCTTCAAACTTTTCCATCTTTCCTTCTAAACAAATCAAAGGGCATGGCCACATTCTTCTCCTATCTTCTGTAAACTTTTCCAGGGGCGCCAACCTTTTTTTTTTTTTGGTTGTTTAATCTCACAAATTACATAGATCTTTTATGCGAAAGGCCCACTCACCAACACTTCATTTTCAACCTGTTGGGAAAGGAATCTGAGACGAGCAAGGTCCCAGTCCGTGCTTTTGAGCTTGAACCCTTTTTTCTTCTCTCTCTGATCTGCGGCTGTCTTTAAACATTTCCTTTGGGAACCTGGTGACCCCACCGTAAACATGGCTGCACGAGCCTGCTTTCTTTTGTTAGTGACGCAGTGAGAAACTGACTCAACAGAACCACGCCATTCCTTGGACAGGCCCAGGCAGAGCGGGAGGCAGGAAGGGAGAGGCTGGCTTCCTGTCTGGCTCCTACTTGGTGAGAGCAGATATCAGTGAACTTGCTCTGCTAGAAGACTGACAGGGAAGGTTTTAGGTTCTTCGGGACATGCGTGGGGCTCTGTCTGCCACTGCATCACCAGAGCAACTCCCGGCTGTGTGAGCCCAAGGGAGTGGCTGTGTCCCAGTAAAACTATTCAAAAAAAGTGGGAGGGAGGTGTTATTGTGAAGGAACAGGTAAAGCTACCACTTGTAATGTCAGCATCCCATATGGGTGCTGGTTCAAGTCCCGGCTGCTCCACTCCCAATGCAACTTCTGTTCATGTGACTGGGAAAGTGATGGAAGACAGCCGGAGTGCTCGATCCCTTGTCACCCATATGAGAGAACAGGAAGAATCTTGTGGCTCCAGGATGGCCTGGCCCAGTCCCAGCTGTTGTCCACACCTGGGAAGTGTACCAGCAGATGGAAGACTCTCTTGGTGTAGCTCTTTCAAATCAGTAAAGAACTCTTAAGAAGTGGGTGAAAATTAAAACAGAAGACAAGCAGTGGGCTGTCTTTGGTCCATCTGCTATGGCTTGCTGAGCTCTGGTTACAATGCAGTTGGACTCCGAACACCCCGTTTCCAGCTGAGCCCTGCTGCTTACTGCCGGCGTGCAGTCCTCCAAGGGCTCTGGCCATTTCTTGGGTTTCTCTGCAGAAGGTTTTGCTTGCCTCCTCAACTTTTCACCCAAGTGAAACCAGGGGCTCATTCATCCTTTCAAGTCCTCAGTCTCCTACCTGAGGGGCATGAGAAGTGAGCAAGGTATTTCATGCAGAGCCTGTAAACCAGTTCTAACACATAAGAAAAGTCCACTCACCACAGCTTGTGTTAAAGCCACATGGTCCCATTACCAATTTATTTAGTAACCCTATTTGTAAATAAAAATGGAAGAGACACACCTAGCGTGTCATCTTTTTCTTGATTTCCTCTCATTTGTGGCTCCTTCACATGTATTATTCCTCCAAATCCAAATTCCTCTTAATCTCTGTGCTTTTGCTCAGAACTTTTTACAGATGGGAGTCTGTTCAACCTTGCACATAACACTGGAATTATTGGCTATTTAAATATCTGTTTCTCATTATCACACACAATGAGAAAGCTTTGCAGAGAATTGGGGGTAGAAATTAATGAAACCTGGTTCAGGAATTGAAAGCATTTTCCAGTTGGAAATAAAAACACAAAGGCTGTGTGAGAGGCGTTTGGGGCGAAAGCAGTCGAAGGGAAAGGTCGGGTCAGCATGGCCTGCTCCAGGCGAGGTGGCAGCCACACCTACACTCTCTCCCAGGTTAGGGGAGTCTAGCCAAGGCTCTCTTTTTCAAACGAAGCAATGGCCTAACTACTCCATAAGCCCAAGGGGCTACTTACAAACTTGGACACCCCAAACTGAGCACTTTTAGTTGCAATATCACAGAGACATTATATAAACCAGCAGACTCTAGCACTTTCTGAAAACAACTTCTTCTTTTGTTGTTGTTTAGTACAAGTTCCAGTGTGTAATAAACATTCACCAGTAAGTCTCAGTATTGAGGCAAAATAAATTGCTCCATCTTGTCTGTCCATATATCCATCCATCCATCCAGGAGTCATTTATCTATCCATCTGATACTCATTGGTTAAATACTCTTGCCTGGAAAGGTGTGTACTTTGAGTGGGGATGTAACCCCCTAACAATGCACCATCTCGCTCTTCTCCACCTGATGAGCCATAGCCACATTAACACACGATCCTCCAAAGCTACATAATCGGCCAGCCTTTGGGATCCGAGTCTCCTTAGCCAGAGATTGTCCTGGGAAATTTCTATCACCAACTGCACATCACAGAGAAATTGCTTGTGGAGGATTAGGAAAGGGGTTTCTAACTCCTGCAATAATAAAAGCACAAAGTCACAGGGTTTGTCATTTTTCCAAACAAATGTCCAAGAAAAATACTCCAAGAGCCAGCATCACATTCCCCTAGCGGCTTTTGTCAGCAAAGTTTCCTGCATGTTGATAATGTGAGGGCAGGAGGGCATGGATGGGAAAGGGCATGAGTGTCTGGGGCTGAAGGTGCAGTTAGTATTCCAAGATTGAGCTGAATTCGGACCCGATGGGTCTGTTTCTTGATTCTGACTACGTAACCCACATATCATGCTTTTCGTCCTGAGATGTTCCCCTACTGCATCCCTACCTTGCCTCTCTCTCTTAGGAAACCGTTCAAAGGTGGCACTGCACTCCAGCCTTCCCTTGCCTCAGCACACTGAGCCCTGGGTGGTGTGTTCAATGTTGGAAATCAGCCTTCTGGCTAAAGAAAACCTAATCTTTGAACCAAGACTCCGGTGTTGGAGGGACTGTGGGTAGCTGTGGCTGTGTTCTGCTTGACAGAAATGCGTGCTCCGGTCCTTGTGGTCTGGTCAGCTGCTTTGGATGGCAAGTTAATCCCTGTGGTTTTACCACATGTCTTTTCTCTGAAGGGGGAGCCACAGTCTCAGTAGAGGATGACAGTGTCCATGGAACCAACTCAAAATCAGAAGCAAACCCATGGGCGCCCCTTGGGGAAAGGAAGAATGGCTCCAGGGAACTTGGAGTCTTTCACACAGCCTGTTGTTTCTCATACGTTCTTGTGAGCTCACATGAAAATCCAATGACAGGATGGTCGCCAGGCAGCAGATACTCTTGGTGGTCTGAATAATCACACCAGTTCACTGTGACTTATGAGGTGGCCGTGTTGAGTTGTTCTCAGAAGCTTGCCCTCTGTTTCCAAGCATGATTTCCCCGGTGGCCACAAATAGAGGGAAAGAGAGGCAGGGGATCCTTTCTCAGCTATGTGAACGAAATCATTGAAAGAAAGAGTGGGGGGGGACAAAGAAAATGAGAATAGGCAGTAATGTCAAAGAGACGGGGTTGTAGAAATGACATCGGGGAGACCCTGGAGGTTGTGCATGTGGCTGTCGGGGTTTGCGAAGCACCCCATCCTCATCCAAGATCCTCCCCCCATGTTGGGACTGTTGACGGCCCAGGAGCCCTTAATAGACATGGACCTTAGCAGAAGTGGGTCTACAGGACTAGAGGAAGCAGTGATTAAGAATTGGCAGGTCATGCAGGTTTTGAAAGATTTTCTTTTTCTTGATAAATAAAAAAGCTGTCACCGTTCCCTCACTTCTGAAAAGACATTAGAAGGTCTGACCCATCTTTTAGCTGTTCTCCAAATCAGAGAGAGGTGTTCTGGTGTATAGGCTATAGGACTTGACTTGAGCACAAGCATCTGGCCTCTGGTAAGAGCTCTATTGGCCAAGCATGTAGTAAGTGCCTGCTCCATACACTCCCACAGGCAGAAAGCGCGATTTTCTCTCCTTGAGGAGCTCTGAGTCTCCCGGGAGAGGCAGGCAGCAATCAACAGGCATGGTCTGTGTGAGTGGAGGACAAGGATGCATGAATGCAGCAGCACCTCTCACCCGGGGCTTCCTCCCTGCCTCCCCCAGTGGACAAGACCCACTCTCCGGCCACGCCCGCTGGTTGCAGGCAGCTAGGGGGGCATTTTTCGCAGGTTATGCATACATCATTTTTCAGAAGATCATGCCTAGGTTTTGGCAGGTTCACAAGAGCCCGTCCCTCTCTGGGCCAGATTCTCATCTGATGTAAATCTTTGCAAGAATCAAGTTGTAGCGCTGTTTTGCATCAAGTGGGACTCTAGCCAGTCTTTCCCCAGAGTTACCCTGGGCTTAAATCTACTACATCATCTCCATGGCAACCAGAGGCCAGCCAGCCAGCGATGCGGTTGCCTTCTAAATCCTCCGCTGGCTTCTCCTCCCTACTCTGTCTTTTTCCATGATTGAAAATCATCTCCCTCCCGTCACCCCCCACTTACTCACTCTTGCTCTCGCATACCTTCTAATATCATCTCGTGCCCACTTTTTTTTTTTGCTGCAACTTCCCTTCAAATCTCCTTTTAAGATTCCCCCATCCAATTAAAAGCATGAAAATGCGTTAGTCATTGCTTGACATTGCTAATTGACCTGTTTAGACAAGACCAGGCTGATTTCAATGGGCACAGAAGCCTTGGCAAAGTCAAGTGGAATTTACCTTCAAGTCTAGCCAGCCTAATTAATACACTGTTGGAGAATGCTGGGCAGCCACACCAAATATGGCATTTCCACCCATTTGGAGAACCCGCCTTGCCGAACCCTGGAAGTCATTTCTGCATCACTTACTCCTATGCATCTGTGAGTGGACCTGTGCACGTGTGTGTGCCTTACAGGGCTTCCATATCCTATAGTCCTTGGGGCTAAACGGGGGACAATGGGGAGAGCTCTGTCATCATGCACGTCTTGGTTGACATTCATACTTGTCACCCGAATTAGCCACTGTTCATTGAACCTCTCTGAGCCGGTTTCCTCATTGGTGCAGTGGAAGTTGACAGTAGCTACCTGGTCAAGGGAAGGGTAGGAAATATATCAGCCATTTACCAGTGCCTGGCACGTCCTGAGGACTTAGGGCCCCTTTCCCTTCCCTGTGAGCCCCAAAGCATGTGTGTGGTTTTCTTTTAATTTTGTTTTAATTGATTTTTGATTAGTCTGCATGCTCTCCGCCTAGCAACGCTCTTCTGTGTCTCTCCACCAGGGGGCACCCTCCCGCCAGGGACCGAGCCCACAGTGGACACGGTGCCCGTGCAGCCCATTCCAGCCTACTGGTATTACGTAATGGCCGCCGGGGGCGCGGTGCTGGTGCTGGTCTCCGTCGCGCTGGCCCTGGTGCTCCACTACCATCGGTTCCGCTATGCGGCCAAGAAGACCGAGCACTCCATCACCTACAAATCCTCCCAGTACACCAACGGGGCCCCTCTGGCGGTGGAACCCACCCTAACCATTAAGCTAGAACAAGACCGCGGCTCCCACTGCTGAGGCCTGAAGCCAGAACCGCGCCCAAAACAAACGAGAAAGACTGAAAACACGATGCCTCGATTTTGCACTTTTTTCTCCTTGCCTAGTCTGTGTGTAAATTCTCAGACATCCCTCTCCTCACCTCCACCTCACCCTGACCCATTCTCCTTGGGTTCATTTGGCTTTCTGTGTGTCTGTCCGTCTTTGCTTTTTGCCATTGTTGATTCTGAAAAGCCAACCACCCCCACCTCTGTAATGCTGCAACTTGGAAAAGAGATCCGCCCCCGCCCTTCAGGGTGCAAGGCCCAGCGGTTCCTTCCCGGAGGGACTGGCCCTTCTGTGTGCTCCCCTTTGCCTTACCCAGCACCTCCTCTCCCGGGCAGGCTTTCCAGGGGGGCTCCGGGAGACCCTGACTGTACATAGTATACACTTGGGTGTGAAAACTAGCTCCGTGTATGGGTGTGTGTGATAGACTGGTTCCGTATTGGGGGAGCGTGAAGGTGTGTTCAATATTAGACTGTACACGTTTGGTTTACTTGGAGAAGAGATGGAAGCTTTTTGTTGCCTTATCTAGCTCTGGCTGGGTTTCTGTTGGCTGTCATTGTCATCTCCAGGTACCTAGAAGCCACGTGGGACGCTGCGTGCCCCACCGTCCCTATGCTCTCCCCCAACCCACCTGACCCCAGAAGGCGGCTCCCCACTGCACCCTCAGGTCCCCTGTGTTGTGTCTCCCCGTGTCTTTGAAGTCACAAGCTGTCAACCCCTGGCTGTGTGGGGAGCCTCCTTGAAGCTCTGACACAGCCCTGTCTCCTGTTGCCTTATCAAAGAGATACTCGTAATGAATGTGTAGTTGTTATCACTTACGTCCAAGCGTGGAGTCAGTTACAGGGAATGAACACATCTGGGACTGACGTGGCAAAGGCAGGCATCTCAGTTGTGAGCAGGAGGAGTGGGCGAGAGAAGCACAGAGTACAGCCTCTGCGAGGTCTGCTCCTCCCGGGTCATGGCACCCAGCCAGACGCAGCTGAGGAAGAGAACGGAAACCCGTCTTCCTTGGGATTCATTCCATTGGCGACTGGAACAGCATGTGCAGAATCCAGGGGAGAAGGGTACCGTTGACTTTCCTTTCTAAGTGTTCAGTGTGTGACTGAGTCTATAGCCACTAGCATGTAAGGTTGACCACCTGGCTTGTTTCAATATTGTACCAGAGCATAAAGTTTTGCTAATGTGCCGATATGCTACCCCTTAAAGTATTCATGGCACGGCAGGGGGACTGGCACACATAGATGCTGCTGTCTCGTGTGAGAGGCAGGACCATGAAGATGAACCTGATGCTGCCTACGTATTCTTTCCATGTGGTGGAAGGGGAAGGCTGTTGGCACCTGCCCAGTGATAGCACGCAAGGCAGGGGTGCAATCACGAAGCCAACCACAGTGATGGTCGGTGTGTATTTGAAGATTCTCTGGTTCTCTGAATAGTAGGGCTCAGCCTTGGGGGCATTGATCTTCTTTTTACCTTCCTGCTAGGAATGTACTCGGAGAGTCTAAAATCCTTTCCAAAGATGGTTCCTGAGGCTGAAGGCCTCCAGGTACCTACTGAGGACAAAATACTAATATATTGGGTTTTTTGGTCTTGGATGCTTGGGAGAGACTTTTTAGCATTCTTGCAGAATAGCCAGATAGGTCCCTCAAGCACATATACACATACTCAGCTTTTGCATTTGGTTCATTCCGTCCTCCTCAAAGAACAGCACTCTCCCACTCTTATTCTATTTCAAAGAGTCACTCTGCTTCAGCCACAGCAGCTGAGCCAAGAAGAGAGATGAGAGGATAGAGCAGGCGTTACCTTGAAATCCAACAAGTGTCCCAGCCCAGCTGAAGATGGAGAAAGAAGCAGGCTAGGGAGGGCGCGATGCCATGGGAGGACTGATGTGCCAGCCACCAAGGGCTATTTCTTTTGGGGGTTCCACAGCCAGTCATGCTTTAGGGGGCTAAGGATGAGACAGTCCCTTACAGTGATTGACAGCCATGGAGGTGCCCCATAGAGGTCTGGTGTCAGCCAGTCACACCCGGAGAAGCCAGCCAGTGTAGCATCTGACTGAGTCCCGACATACCTTTAAGGGTTCCCCTGCCTTTCAAGAGAATGACAACAACTTTGTCAACTTGCTGTATCTTTTATCTGATCACCCCATGTGGCATCGTCTTTATGTCCTACCACAGTTGAGACTATGAGATTGTTTGCTCCCTTGCTCTCTCTCTCTCTCTCTCTCTCTCTCTCTCTCTCTCTCTCCATCTCTCTCCACCCAGCAACTTTCATAGTATTATCCAGGTACTATGCTAAAAGGGCAGCTTTTCTATAAAACTCCATGCCTTGTGGCTTTAAAAAGAAAAAAGCAAACTTGTAGATTTCACAGTGGGAGAGAAGTCACTCTCTTAACAGAAAAACAGGCTGGACAGGTGATGCACGGATGCACGTGTTTAGAGTTGCTTCCCAGAAGACAAGAGGCAGCAGCAGCTATTAAGATACGAATGACTGGATGAATGGATGAGTGAATGGAGGGCCTAGTTGGAGCTCGCCAAGCTTGCGCCTTAGTCAAGGTTTCGTGGCCACACCTCTTGGAGGGAAGGCCTTATCTGTGGGGTAAAAACCCCTTCCTTAAGATTTTGCTAGCAGTCTGTCACCTAACCACTGATGAGGGCAAAGAAAAGTTAAAAAAATAAAATCTATAGCATTACCATTGACAAAACAGGATGATGAATAGAAAGTCAAGTAGTCTTTTCCTTTGTCCTATATTTTTGGGATTGAAGCCAGAACCGACAGGAAATCCAGTAACAAGTCAAAGGTTAGTACCCCATCTTTAAAAAAAACAGCCTGTCTTTTAAAAATGAAACCAGCAGGCAAACACCTAAAGAATAGAACAATTACCAAAGAACAACAACAAAACAAGGAAACCTAAAGATTTGTACTTCTGCTTTACCCCTCTTTCTGTTACCGTGACATCCCTTGCATTGCTCAGTTGCCTGTGTGTCAAAATTACTGTGGACGTTGGAAACTATTTGCAAATGTATTGTGTGGAATGTAATAAAATGATGATATTTTTATACAAACATCTGGGTGGTTTTTCTCCCTCGGCCTGTGAGAACAAAGTTGAAGCGTAGGCTTTGAACAAAGTGATATTTCTCAAGTTTGCACATCACCTCCTGAGCCACAGGGCATGTCCGTGGGAGGTAGGTGGGCTCTCTCCTTGAGGCCGCGTGCCAGCTCTTCCTTCTTTTTATTTTTATTATGCTTGTTAGGAGTTTTATCCAATTTGTGCAGCTGAGCCAACTTTTATGATTGGTGTGGGATTTTGCGAAAGTTGCTAAGTGCTAAATTGCTAAATGTGATTCCACAAAATTTCTCTTGATGGCAAATCCCTGGCGATTGGACTTGACTTTCAAGAGGCCCCAGGGGGAGTGGGAACAGTTAAGCTATGCCATGTACTGAGCCCTACGGAGACCGTGTGGCTTGCTTGGGAGAAGCAGCAGCCATGCCTTACCCCTCACCTACAAATTGTTACCTCCACAGGGACATTCATCTCCAATTTGGGAGCACTTTCCCAGAAAAAAAAAAAAAAAAAAGGAACTTGTAGTATGTTCAGGCCTTAAAGATATTTTAGATTTAATTTTTGAGCTGATAAATGAGGGTAATAATATGATTACGGTGAGCCTGAAACCTTCAAACTAGAATATTCTATAAAATCTAGGAGAGGGACTTGGGGAAACTTAAGAAGCCAGATTTTTTTTTTTTTTTTTTACAATTATTACTATTTTTTTTCCGTCCTCCTCTTTGAGTACTCTGTGATTTGCTTGCACAGAATTGTTCTTCCAGGGTCATAGGAGGGGAAAAAAATACATCTAGGAAGGGATTCTTCCAGGGGTTCAAGGTTTCTAGGTAGTGGTCAAGAGTTGGTGGTGCAAGTGTTTCCCAACAGCCCTCATTCCTGGGATGGGATGGGAGCCTCCTGGGCCCCTGAGAGCCTTTCTCGGGGATCCGTCCTTAGAGAGCCGAGCGAAGACCTTGTATCTACTTGGAACCTTCTTCCCTTCCTTCCCAAGTCCACTCCAGGAAGAAGAGCTTTTGACAGTTGCATGATCCTGTGGGTGCAGCTCCAAGGGCCCAGATCTTTGGCTTTCAGCTCCCACAGGAAGTTCTGTTTGAACAGATGGCCCTGGGTGGATGGCATGAGCTGTGCCCTGCAGGAGAAAAGGGTGGGACGTCCATCACAATGGCATTGTTTGTTCTTCCAATGACAGGCGCAATTACCCATTTTGTCTAAATCACATTTGGCTTTCCTTAAAGCCATTTGTTCCCATTAGTAAAGGATGAAATGAAAACATCTCAAAAGTGTTTATTTCAACCAAAGACCCAGGCTCAGTCCACATTTTCCCAAGCTGACCTGGGACCAAATTGGCCAGAGTGAATTAAATTAGCATCACCATCTTTGCTTCATTACCATTGCTCTTTGGGGAGCCACATTTGAGGATTTTTTTTTTTCCTCTCACCTAGTCAGGAGGCTAATAGGAGTAGTCGCCCAAAAAGGGGCAAATATTGTAAGGGCTCTAGTCTTAGTTGGGGAGTACAATGCTGTTACCCCACATGGCATTTCAGAATTAGCTCAAACACGAATGTTACAGCAACTGTGTTTCCATGGATCATAAATACCACATGTTAAGGGCCACTAGGGCCTGCTTCCTCTCCGACCTGGTCTTTTCATGGAGAGTTAAATGCATGAGCTTATTTCCACCGCTTCCCTCCTAGCCCAGACAGCCGAAGCCCAGCCAAGCTGATGGGGCACAGTGTTTGTTTTCCTCGTCCCTCTTCATGATTCTGCAGTTGTTTTGCACAAACGTTGTGGCCATTCTGTAATCTAGGATGAAAAGAGCTTCATTTTGAAGTTTGGATTGTCTGCTTTGTGGGCTATGCTTCCGAGCCAAACTGCAGATCTGTAGGTGCGAGCTTGTTTTTCCTCTTTAATTGTGCAGAACACTGGGGCCCTCACAGCTGTAATTTGCCTTTCATCCACTTCAGTGCTGGCCCAAAGAAAACACAAAACAAATCCAACCCGAGACAGAGGAGGGGCGAGGGGAGCACCAACTGACGATCTTACAAGCAGCAGGGAAAAGAGTTGCCTTATACAAATAAGATGAGGGGCTAGGACTAGTGTAGGACTCAATGAAGCCTGACACAAGTCAGGTGCACAGGGGTCAGACACAACCAGAAACTGCACCCTTAGGAGTCATGAGGTTGGGTTACGTTTGCACAGACTGCCTGGAAGAGATCTGTTTGGCCCCAAACAAGACTTGGGAAATTGCCTAAGAGCAAAACCTCATTGAGTATGCTGTGGAACAACAGAGAATCTGGGCCAACTGAAGTTATCATTGCCCCAAGCCCAGTGGGCAAGAGATCCAGAGTCAACTCTTCTCTCTCTCCGGCCAACTAATTGGGCTTGAGCTCTGCTGCTGTTGACTTCTGAGGGTCCAGTAACACTAGAGTCAGGTGCCATGGGCCCTGGAGCAAGAAGTATCAAAATCCACCTGAAGGGTCGATAGAGGAAGTACTGGAGGTAGGACGAGACTTTGGGTGGGAGACACCGTTTCCTGGAGGCTCCTTGGCAGAGTATGTGTTGATACTGAAGTTTGGGTGGGGAGTGGTTAGGAGAGAAACTAGATGAACTGCTTTTTTTGTTTTTACACTCACAAATAATACACGGCTATGTTCTCTAAAAATGAAAGACAAAAGGCAAAACACTTTATCATTAGCCAGCCCCATTTCCTCCCCAGAGTTTACCAAAAAAGATGTTTTGGGCCTTGTTTTGCACTGTTTGTAGACATCAATATTTTTATGCTCACATTGAATTATGTGGTCTGGCCTAGCATGGGTTGGTTCGTTTTACATCCATATTTATCATTGTGTTTGTCACATTATGGGCCTACTTACTTGGCATTTGCAACATCTAGAAAATAGTTGAGTGCAGACCATCAGATTTATGCCATCCTTCTTAGCTGCTGCCCTTCTAGAGCTCCCTAATGTATTGATACTTGTGAGTTTGTCAGCTGTTCCTCTACCAGTGGCCGTTCAGGTTGTCTATAGCTTGTTTTTCTAACAATGATAAACAATGCTGTCTTGAACATCCTTGCAGTGCTCTTTTGGGGCATAGGTTCCTCTGGGACAGTTTCTGGCACAGATGTGTCTCTGTTTTCATGTTAGTAGAGCTCCAGCTAGCCAAGTGCACCTCTCCAAATGAAGCACCACTTGGGAGAGTGACAGAAATTACTGGACATGCTGGATTTCGATCCTCTAGGACGGTGACAGAAGCCACAAAATCTCTGTGACTTCTGTCCCAAAGTACTTGCAAGAGAAGATTTGAGCGGCTCTCTCTGAAGGGAATTTTCAACTCAAGGAGTGTTTCTCCAGGATTTTTAAACTGCCAACTGTTGGAGAATACATCCTGCCTCCAAGTGGCAGCTCCCCAGAGCTGCAGCAGCTGTGGCTCGGAGCTAACGCCATCCGCAGGTTCAGCAGGCACAGGCCTGTCCTCCAGGATTAATGAGTTCCACTTGGTTTCTTCAAAGAGAGACTGTGTTGTGCCTTGCTGTTATTTATTTATGTTTTCTTCTAAAAAAAAATTCATGTAAAAAAGCATCCTTTAAGGTCAGTGCACAGCACTGTGCTGCAGACTAAACGTTTCCAGAAGCCACAGGTAGAGCCACGTGCCAAGAGAAAGTCTCAAATCCTTGGGATGCTGGGACCCATGTGCCCGCTCTGGCTTGGGGAGGAACGGGCCTTCTGGGTTGCAAGGAGACATCTGGCTTCCTTCCAAGGAGGCTCAGAGCTACTCAACTGGAGCAAAAGCACCCAGCAGCAAGGTTGTTTTCTAGTGGGATTTTTGCAACAGGAGAAAGTTCCAGGCTCACATTACTCTGGCAGAAGATGGCAGGCTAGGAGAAGCCAGGAGACCAGTGGGTCTGCAACACCATTTCTAACAAGAACACTTCTCTGATTTCTTATGTGCGTGGAGATGAAAGTGTGATACTAATGTGACTTTGACACGGAATGTAATGGGTAGTTATCCTTCACTATCTACAAGTCAGGGAGAGGGGCAAGAAAATCATGGTAAAAGGAATTAAACAATGAGTTGGTTTTGGTACAAAATAATCTGAAACATATGAAAAGTTTTTCTTTTTTAAGAATCAGTGATTTATTTCAAAGTCAGAGTTTAAAGAGACACAGAGATCTTCTATCCACTGGTTCACTCCCAGGTGGTTACAACAACCCGGCCAGGTCCAGGCTAAAATCAGGGGCTAGGGGCTTCTTCTGGGTCTCCTGTGGGAGGAGCAGGGGTCAAGCATTTGTGCTGTCCTTTGCTTTTTCAAGGCTGTTAGCAGGGAGTTAGATGGGAAGTAGAGTAGCCTGGACCACCACCCATATGGGACGCCTATGTCACAGGTGACAGCCCTACCCACTACACTCCAAAGCCCAGCTCATTTATATGGGTTTTGTGGCTTTCCTCAGACCTTAAAAAAAAAATCCAAAGCTGCTGCCTCTTGGATATATGACTGGAGGATATCTTGGGAAAGAAACTAGCTTGGTTTTGCAGTCCACCTGAATTAGAGACCATTCCCCCCACGGCCTCTCTCTCTCTCTCTCTCTCTCTCTCTCTCTCTCTCTCTCTCTCTCACATGCATGTATGCACACAGTGCCTTATTTTGCTTGCTTTATAATTGTCCAGAATTTAACTCATTTTAATATTGCTAACTAACATCCCCCCCCAAACAAAACCTTGGATCCAGAACTGAAATGATAGTGTATCGGGCCTCGGGTCTCAACAGCAGTGGTCTCTTTCTCTGCCCTCAGTGACTCATTCACAGGACATCTGGCCTAGAGTTTTCTGCAACTTGTTAGAGAGCAGCTAGTCCACATAATGATGGAGTGTGAAGAGAGCTTTGAACCAGAGGTGGCCTTGACCAAAGTCCTATTCTCTGCTGCCCTGTTGGTTTTTTGAGGCTTAATTTTAGCACTGTTTAAAAAAATAATACTTCTTTTCATTTTGTATTTTCTTTCTGTC